ATATAAATGTGGGCTGTGATAGGGAACTCTCCAAAAGTATCTTGCCTATTTTGGTGTCATCTTTCTTTTGTTTAAATAGGATAATTTAAGAGTGATATTTCTTCATTGAAATTTGAGATGATGGTCATACAGGGTTCCTCATATTTTAATTAATCCCACTGAAAACAGTTTGAAGAAAATCACAACAATAAAACCACTACAATATTAGTGGTATTGGTTATGTTGTTTGGAGTGCATTACAAGTACAATTAATTGCATTTAATTATTAGAGGTGTAGAATCTGTATAATACAATGCCAGGGACATGCCGTTGTGGGCGCTGGGCATGCCATAGGGAGACAGGTTTGGGACAGTATGCGCGTGTCTATACTTCCAGCAGGTTCAGACTTCAGTAATCGCTCCTTAATGACCCGAATTTATTTGCAAATTAAAGCAGCATTTTCATGCCGAACGTACCTTTCTCCTATCGCTTCCTCTTCTCTTTTAGAATCTGTTCTTTGCTTTATTTCTGATTTGTTTTATTTAGGGACAACTTTGTCTTATGTATTATTCCTACACTAGTGATGTCGCGAACCGTTCGTGGCGAACTCCGGTCAGCTGACACATCCCTGCCAATCTCCGGCAGACCCTCCCTCCTAGACCCTCCTACTTCCTGGACAGCATCCATGTTGAAGGCAGCGTCAACATGGATGCTGTCCAGGAGGTGGGAGGGTCTGGGAGGGAGGGTCTGCCGGAGATTGGCAGGGATGTGTCAGCTGACCGGAGTTCGTGGCGAACCGTTCGCGGCAAGTTCACGACATCACTATCCTACGCTTGACTTTCTTTGACCATATGTGGAGCTTAAGTCAGCTCAATTTCCGGTGTCAGAGAAAGTACTCACCCTTCTACTTGACACAGGAAATGGAGCAGACTTAAGCTCCTCTTTTTAGTCCCTACTTTTTCTTACGTTTTAAAGAAAAACAGATTAGAAATAAAGAAAGAGAAAAAAACTAAAAACAATAGGAGAAAAATAAGTTTGGCGTGGCAGTGCCGCTTTAAATCCAAATGGCAAAACTAAGGCAGGTATAACCAGTCAAGATCAGTCAGTTTATCCATTCGGATATAATTTGCTAAAATTTAGTGCATAACCAAGCACATTTTCAGATCTAAGCAGGGTTCCTAAACTTTCTTATTTGAAATGAATGTGTGTCAGGAAAAGTAGACTGTCAAGACTGACAAGTTGCCTTTTCCCTTGGAAAAGTAGATTTATTTATTTTTAACTTCCATAACCTTATTTCACAGTTAACACATTATCATGCATTTTCTCTAAGTATAGTACATAATTGCAGCATTATATATATATATATATATATATATATATATATATATATATATATATATATTTAAATCTGCTGAGAAAAAAAAAAGTGTGTAATTCTTAATCAATATTATATATCAGTTATTTCCAACTGTTAGATTACTAACAGTTTGGGTATTCTCAAAGTTTCCTAAGAACCATTTTGCCATTGTTAATTAAATGCCATATATATATTTTTTTTTATTTAATTTAATTTTATTATTTCTTTTAAAAATGTATTTATTATTACTCTTAAAATAAGGGAATTATTATTACTCTTAAAATAAGGGAATTATTATTACTACTAAATTTGCTTTGGCGGCTTCATATCTCTTAACATTGTGAGGTGTGAGATTGGGACGAGTGGTCGGGCATGAGAGGGGGTGACACCAGTGACACAATTCACTTAACTGGTGCCGTCCATAACAATCAGGTCTGCCCAGAAAAATGGCATGCCCACCCATTCAAGGACTGAAAGGGCATGTATGGCCTGTCCCTAACCTGCTTGATATTATAGAAAGTCCTGTGTCCTCTCTGCAGGGTCCTCGTGTCCATGCACAGCTTGAGAACATTTCGGATAATTCTGGCAGCTCACACCCACAACCTCATGCGCAGTTGGACCAGTGTCAGCTGGGAGAAGGTGACTCTTACTTCCTCCCAGCATCCCGTCAAATAAAAAGGGGCCTGAGGTTCCACTCAGAGCAAACTAGCTAAAGTAAGCAATTTCCTCCACATGCCATATCAGGGTCAAAATCAATGAAAATCATCTTGTGGTTCGGTTAATACTGCCTGCATACTATAAAATTTAGTCCACATGGGATGAGTTTACCAATTCCCCTTAATAGTCTCACACAGTACAGTGTGGCTTCCATCTCACAGTGGCACTTTCCCTCCCTTCCCCTATTCTCTTTTGTTTTTATTGAGTCCCATTACCTAGAATTGTACATCTGGTATATTGTGTCTCTTTGGCTCCTTACTTTACGAGCAGTACTTCATTTAATTTATACTTGCTGACATTTAAATACAACTGTATGCTTGTACATAAGCTTACTCTTATTTTTTGTATTGCTTGTCCTATTTATTTACTTCTCTCTACTTTAGCTGAAAATTGGATGTGGTTTTCTAATCTACAACTGGACCTAAGAATCAATATTTCATTAAAGGAACACAAACATTAAAAATACATATATTCACATTTAATATTGGTGTGTTTCTTAAGTTGCAGAGTATGAGCATCCTCCTTGTAAAAAAATAAAATAAAAACTCACGCTTCATCGAGCGCCAGACAGTCACTCATCTTCTTCTCATGAAATCATCATGATAGATAATCTGTGGTCCAATCCAATGCTTGTAATAGTGATGCATTGGGGACTTTCTGGGAAATAATCGGCAATCATTACACTTAACCAATGATATGCTTCTTACAGCTTTTCTGTGAGAAGCATTCAAAGTTTTTGGCAAGGTTAAGTGTTTCAGTCATTAAAAGTTTCACTAGAAAGTGCCTATAATAGTTGTGGTGAAAGGGACCTCGCCACTGGTTTTTGGAGGGGGCTGCTTGCCCGCCTCCTGTCTTCTGACTATGGACCCTGGGAGACTTTTCCCTGTGTAAGCATTATTTGGGCTTATTGGATTTCGAAACACTTTTTCTTCCCCTTTGAATACATGAGAAGGTATGCCCCTCCCCCGTTTTCTGTCTATTGTTCTTCAGCAGGGCGTTGTCCCAGGGATACTGCCAGACTAGTTGGAACTTTTTGCTAAACTTTAACCCCATGGCGATTTGACTGTGTTTGTGGGATCTGAGCGCTGTTCGGATATAGTGAGCACTCAGATCCAAGATATCTGGGGATAGGTTGTATGTGGGGGTTCTGTTCAGTATGATAGGAATTATGTATTTTTGTGTGTTTTTGCTGTTGTTGTAAATGGAGATATTTTCTGTATGCTGGAGATAATTGGCTTACCACACCCAAGCCATGCTTGCAGTTGGTCAAAAAGGGATTTCCAACTAACTTTTGAACCACTGTTCCAATTTGTATGATTTTGACATATGTTTGTATTTGGAGTATGCTGATTCTGAAAATGTATGTGAATGTGATGTATACTTTTAAAGTTATGAATATTGTGTAAAATTGTGTATTTTCCTGCCTGTGATAATTACGTTAGCCCATTGTGTTCAGTAATTATATTACAGGCAGAGGGGAGGATTTTGTGTGTAATTGCTGGGAGTGTCTCAGTGTATTGTAAGTATTGATTGATCATTATGCAAAACACTGTGGGCAGTACTATGTGTGTAAAATGTGCATAAAAGCAGAGTGTTTGATTAAAGCTTCAGTTCTGCTCACTGTGTGTCGTCCAGTTATTGGGAAAGGTGATGGGATATTATTGGATTGTTTTACTGATCATGCCTGCTACTCTATTGGATTATTGTATTTATTACTGTGGAGGTTTCTCCTGGGTTAACTACTTGTTCCTGAGCCACAATAGGATTACCAAAAGACGGAAATAGTCTGTGAGAGACCAGCGTTCCGCTACAGTGGTTGTCTGACAGCCACTATAGGCGTTCCGACTGATAATAGTAAGGATTGCAGCTTCTTACAAGCTTTAAGACCATTGCATTTACATGTAGTGTGTACGGTGCTAAGAGTTTCCTATTAAAGCTTGCAGATTAACCTGTTTTATGGAAACTGATCTAAACTGCAAGACTGATGTCTCATTTGGATATTTGCATAATTTCAAAGACATGGGCAAAACACATTGCTTGCCATGCCAGGATGAACAATCCAATCATTCTGGTCTATAGGGACTGATCTTATCCAATACCACAGTTCAGACCATCACATAGAATGATTGGAGCTGTATTATAGACTGAGAGCTGGCATGATACAGCTGCTGTTTCGGGAATCAGGCTGCGCTTTGATATAGGTCATGTGCCATGCACACAATGTACACACAGTAGGCAAATGTCGTTTTACAGAAATACAGAAACCAGGAACAAAGCTTTTTAAACACAGGCTGTGATCCAAAAGGAAGTCAATGGCTGCATTTATGATTACTGATCTTGTCTGGATGAGCTGATTTGCATATACAACAGAGCATTCTGTGAGAATTGTGGAAACATGATATCTCGGATAGCTATGGCTGTGCCAAAGGCAGACTTTTTCCATGTCCTGTCTTGTGATTGGCAAATGATGCACATAATAACTGTATTTATTAATGTTTTTTGCCAACTATGAGCAAAGTGGCAAGTTCGATTACAGAAGTTTTTTACTATAACATAGATGTTATATTACATCAATAGCACTAATTTCATAGTTGAGGAAGAAGGGCTTAGACCACCATGTTTTGAAGGTTCAAACAGGTACTGTAATCAGTACACTAACAGTTGGAGGCATTAGTACTTATGTAGTGTCAGTATATGCTGAGGCACTGTACTGTAAAAATACATCAAATAAATACTATGGATGTTAAAGAGGCCCTGATTGAAAATAAAATAAAAATCTGGAGAAAATAATAAACAAACACACAAAAGTTAAAGAACAATGTTTCCTTGGGATGTGCATGGGCAAATATTTGTTTCGGTTCAGCATTCCGAAAATCGGGACTTCGGCACTTCGGTTCGGTTCGGCACTTCTGAAATTTGGAACTTCGGGTTAGGGTTGAGTTAGGAGTAGGGTTAGGGTTGGGTTAGGAGAAGGGTTAGAGTTAGGTTAGGAGTAGGGTTAAGGTTGGGTTAGGAGTAGGGTTAGGGTAGGGTTAGGTTACCTCTACCCTAACCCTACTCCTTACCTAACCCTACCCTAACCCTCCTCCTAACCCCACCCCTTCTCCTAACCTAACCCTACCATAACCCAACCTTAACCATACCCCTAACCCTACTCCTAACCTAATCCTACACTAACTCTAACCCTAACCCTACACCTTACCTTACCCCTAACCCAACCCCTATCCCTAACCCACCACTACCTGTTTTGCCACTTTTCAGAAGTCTAAAGCACTTCAGCACTTCCGAAATTCAGAACTTTGACACTTTGGAAATTCTGTTCGGCACTTGGCACTTTGGCCATTCGGAAGCATCCTAAGTGTAATGTGGTTAATATAAAACAAAAAAGAAACACCCAACAGGGATCTCTGATGAAAGTGCATTGCAGCTCTGAAACATGTCAGGCATTTCTTTTTGTTTTAATTGTTCCTGGGTGCTGTTGGAGTTCTAGGGGTTAATGTTTAATATGGGGGGGGGATTTATCTGCTATTTAGCAGTTCATTCCTCTGTATGGTATTTTAAGCTACTGGTACCCCTGCAACCAGTGTCCCGCCATAACTTCAGCGGGAGGGAGGGGGATTGAGACACATGGAGGGGCTGAGATACATAGTGGGATGAGACACATGGGGGAGCTGGGGTGGGAATGAGAGGGGCTGAGGGGGAAGAGACACATGAAGGGGAGGGGGAGAATGAGACACATGGAGGTGCTGAGACAGATTGGGGAAGAATAAGAACCATGGGGTAGCTGCAGGGAAAATTCACACTGGGGGCTGGTGTTTTCTAGTTATGCCTCTGATTTTAGCCCTCATGTTCTTCCTTTTATATTAGATACCCTTATTGTCAATTGTTTGCATGTTCAGTTGGTCTAGCAAGAACATTTAAATTGTCCTAGCTTGCAGCCATTGTCTTACACACGTCTTTTCTACTACTGGACTGTCTTTCATCCAAATAAATTAAAGGTAATGATTTTTGTCAATTACCAAGATAATCTTCTTTAAGTTACTAAATTTAATTTATGGTACTTTAATACACATATGTAGTGATATCCCTTCTTTATTTCTGCTAATATCTCCTCTATCTGACATCACAGCGACATTGTCTGTGACTAATTAAAGCAGCACTGTCATGCCGAACTTACCTTTCCTCAATCTCTTCCTCTTCTCCCCCTCTCTCAGGATCTGTTCTTCTTTTCTTCCTGTCTTCTTTAGTTTTCTTTAAAATCATAAGACAAAGTAGGGACTCTTTGCCTTATGGAGGATTCCTCCGCTTGACTAGCTCTGACCAGCTGAGGAGCAAAGTGTGCTTCATTTCCGCTGGTCAGAGCAATTTTCCCATAATTCTTACCTTTCCTCTGTGTTCCCGCGATGCTGTCATTTTAGACGAAACTGCCGAATTACGTTCTAACTGAATGAGAACTGTATGTTCGTTTCTTTTAGAATGCAATTCGGCACTTTATTCGGATCGCAATTTCATTCGAATGAATGAAAATCCGATCCTATTCTTGCTGTGGCTGCACCTTGCAACAGCTTAGTAGATAACTCCCTAATTCCCACGGTATCAGGGAGTTATCTACTAAAAGGCTGAAAGACCTAAATTGGTCTTTCAGCCACATTTACTAATACTAAGTAAAGATTACTTAGTATTAGTAAATGCTACCCCTACTCGCTATACCGCGAGTAGGGGCATGTCTAGTAAACAGTGAGCAGCCTGTGGCTTGAAATTCTTTTGAATTTTCCCACGCTGTGTAAAATGACACAGAGCACTGTGATTGGATGGATTTCAAGCCATCCAATCACAGTGCTCTGTGTCATTTTACACAGCGTGGGAAAATTCTTTTGAATTTCCCCACGCTGTGTAAAATAACAAAGAGCACTCTGATTGGCTTAAACCCACCAATCTTTTGAATTTTCCCACGCTGTGTAAAATGACAAAGAGCACTCTGATTGGCTTAAACCCACCAATCAGAGTGTTCTTAGCCTAATTGCAGGGCGGGGCAAGGCTTTATAAGCCTTCCCCCGCCCTGCTGAGCTCAGTCTGCGCGGAGCCCTCCATGTGCGAAGATGGATTATTTTTTTGCGCTGGGGTTTTTTCTTTTTCGTCTGTTTTTTTTTTTGTATGGGCCCCTATCCGTTGTTTAGGGGTGAGGGTCGGGGGGGCAGTAGGTCCCCCCCCTTATCATTATGGCACCCACCCGCTGCCCAGGGGTGGGGGTCGGGGGGGACAATAGGTCTCCCCCCTTATTTTACTTTAGGGCCGCCATCCGTTGTTTAGGGGTGGGGGTCGGGGGGGCAGTAGGTCCCCCCCCTTATTATCATTATGGCCCCCACCCGCCGCCCAGGGGTGGGGGCCGGGGGGGGACAATAGGTCTCCCCCCTTATTTTACTTTAGGGCCCCCATCCGTCATTTAGGGGTGGGGGCCAATAGTTTTTGGGGTTTTTTTTACAGTGAGCAGCCACAGGCTGCTCACTGTTTAGTGGACATGCCCCTACTCGCAGTATAGCGAGTAGGGGCATTGGGGAGATTTTAATCTCCCTTGTGCTATTATGGGGGTCATATTGAGTGAGGGAGGGCCTGGGGGGCTTATGAAGTGGTGGGGAGCACTGCCGCTTCTATAGTTACATATTACAAGGAGGGAGCTGTGTGCCGGTAGCTCCCTCCTTGTAATAAACTGAACAAACAAACGAACACTGATACTCAGTGTTTGTTTGTTCTTCTGTCATTTCTATTCATTCATTTGTCTGTCTGATGAATGAATAGATGAAATTCCCGTTCGCATGTCTAGGTGTTTCATCTACCCACACAAAGATGGCGGCGTCCTGAATAAAGATTGGGGCAGAAAATAAGGAATAAAAAATAGGTAATGTGGGGGGCTTAGGGGCATTTGGGGGTGACTAGGGGGTCAGTTAGAGATAGTGGAGGCCGGAGGGGGGTTAAAAAAAACCAACAAGATTCGACAGTGCTGCTTTAATAGGTATCTCACAGGCACTAGTGCCTTCATAAAGCCTCAAGAGAGAACTGATCGAGGTAGATCATGAAGCCAATATGTTACCAATTGGACATTTTCTAAACTTGCATAACTTTATGTGTTGTGCATAGATAACTTAAGAGATACTATTAAAGAAACACAGAGAAACAACTGTCTGGAGTGAGGTTGTGGTCTATATTACAAGGTATTTAAAACAACTGTTTCTTCAGCCTTATACATACTTAAATAACATAAATAATTACCTGGCATCAGGGCCGGATTAAGAGCACACTAGGCCTGGTGCTGACAAATATGATGGGCCTAATTACGGAATCTTATCGACCAAAAACACTAAAACAGTCATACCTCCCAAGCGTCTGATGGAGATGGTGCTGGAGGGAAACTCATAGGATCCAGCTATACGAAAACACATACCCTAGGCTAATCTCTCTCTAATTTATGCTTTCATCTTTCAAGTAAATCCATATCCCCTAACAGCAGTGTCCAGTCAAGCAGGAAGTCAATGGGTGGGGTAAAAGGGTGGGCCACTAGTGCGAATCACGTGACCAGACCTGCCAAAAGGGGAGAACATGCCCAAAAAGGGGGCATGTCTGTCCAAAGAATTGGAAGGCCAGCCTGGCATGTATGCATCCTCCATTTTTTTTAAATGGGCCTATTCCATGGGCCTGGGCCTGGAGCTGCAGCTCCATCAGCCCCTATGTTAATCCGGCCCTGCCTGGCATTTAACACCAGGGAAAAATAACACACATTGTGACATACAACAACCCATATTAAACTTCACCCCCTATTTATTTAGGCAGGCAAATTTAAATTTCAAATAAAGACTATGACAGATAATATAAAATAACAGAAAGAGTATGTGGTGGGGAAGCTGGGCAGATTAATACAATTACTTTTTTGGCGCCTTGACCATATTGATATCGAGCCGAATCACAAACCAGCTATGGCAGTGATGGATGGGATGAACTCTTGCCCCTCCATTACTCCCGTACACATATAAAGAAGGAACTAATTGTCCTTTGTCTATATTTTGTGCACAGTATAGGTTTATACTGTTTGGCGTATGGTTACAGTGTTTATAGTTTTTAGGAACATTGAATACATGCTTTTTTAAACAGGCTGTTGTTATTCACTAGAGGACACATTTCTTTGGAAACATTTTCTATTTCCCTTTTTTAATGTATAAGGCTTACAATCTAAACAATACTATTGTTGTTCTACTGGCAATTGACCCATGACTCTAGGTCATTGAGTTTTTCTCGATATTCTGTGAAGACCCTTTCGGCAAAGTGTATGTTGGTCCTTTTTGGATATCCTTGATGGAACCATTTACACTACAAAAATAATGTATACATTGATCCGTATAGAGGATAAAATAGTCGTGTTGGGGAACCTGCATGGGCTTAACCCACAGAGCACTGAAGAATAACTAATTCAAAAGAAACCCTACTAGAAGAGGACAAATGGGAACAAGCAAGTCTCTAAAAAATTATTAAGAAAGTTTATTCAAAATTGGACAAAGACAGCGTTCACAATCCATTTTGGCACAGCTTTAAGAACTTTGTGCAGGCGCGCCTTGTGGCATTTCTTCCCATGTTCTACAGGAACCCATACTTTGTCAGAGTGAACGCACAGTGTACATGCAACAGAGTAAGACTTTGGCACAGTACGCATTGCGCAGGAAGCATTCTTAGTCCATGTGTCCTTTTGGAATAGCGTGCAGTTTGTATCCATTGATATATTGTACAGGATGCACATCATGAAACCTTTTAAAACCTTGCATCCAGTTTCTTTCTGTACAGTGTGCAATAGTATTTAGCCATGCAAAAATGTAGGTCTGTGGAATACTTTGCAGGTTATATTTCAGTACACAGTTAAAAATGCACTGCAGCTTGAGATGATACATTAGATCAGGGGTAGTGAACCTTTTAATAACTACCGCCCACTTTTGTATGTTTGTTGATGGTAAAATTTGGTCCACGGCCATCGAGGCCCACTGGGCGTTTTCTGCAGAACCCACCACCGCCCACCTAAAATCCCAAACCGCCCACATGTGGGCGGTAGGGACCAGGTTGACTACCCATGCATTAGATAATGCATTAAATACAAATCAACCAATTGAAATTAATAATAATATTTTAAAAAAATACACACAATATTTATCATAATATGATAATATGATATTTGCACCACCTA